TTGTTATTGTGATCGGGTGGCGGGGGTTGAATCTTATTAATTTATTATGAGTGGAGAATGAATGAATATATTTGTGGTGTTAGAGGTGCTTGCAGTAGTGAGTATTCTCTTCGTAACCGATGCTATTCCAGTGAATTTACGATCGTTTATTTTGTCACTAAACTGGGACCAACTTGCACAATTCAAGCTTATGAAATTATTCCTTCTGAAAATTTTTCCGTCATGTTTTGCTTATGACATCCTCCAATTTCATCATTTAGCAATGCATTTTTGAAATATTTTCCGGTTCCATACCAATTATCTCCTAACGGATTCACGATACGAATCTCGATTAGGATGGTATTATAAGATAAGGTGTATTTGAATATCTTATGTAACTCATGATCGCTCTTGTAACGGTTTTACAGTAAATTATGAATTTAGTAGATTTGGTTGTATTGCTGTTTGAGTTCGAAAAATTCCCAGATATGTCTACTGTTACGGAGTGATAACTAACAATTATGACTGCAATGAATAATTCACTGAAAAACTCTCAATTTTACTTTATGCATATGAAATCTGATGAAATTATTTCTTGTGTTCGATGAGATTTATTATTTATTGAATTTATCATCGATAAATAANTGAGTCGTATGCCAACAAGCATCATACCATATATACGCATATTCCGTTCGTTTCCCTTTGGTTTCAAAAGTCTAAATTTTATTCACTTCCGTTCAATGAATATCGGCTATAGAAGTTTTTCAAGGAGATCGAACAGGAACAAAATAGGGCAAGTACGAGATAGCCATTCGTATGGATGAAGGACTTAATATAATTTCCAAATTTGTAAATTTGACATATTACAAGGCACACTGTCAACAGCCAGCTATTACAGTTCATTGAATTTCAAAACATTATGGCTTCAGCTAGGGCAAGAATTGAATTATGAAATGATTAGCATGAAAGTGTTCACGATACTCACAAAATGTCCACGCTTGTTCAGATACTCACAATCAGTCCTAAAATGGCTTGTTCAAATAATCAGGTCTAAAATCGCTTGTTCCAGTAGACGAATTTCATGTTTTGTTTGGCCCAGCAGTCACTATATACTGCTGATATGTCATGAAAAATGATATGTCATGAAAAACTTTTAAAAAGAAAAAAGAGTTTATCTGGAAAGATATCTGACTTGTGTAGAGAATATCCAATGCAGGTAGCTATGTATAATATGTCTAGGATGTGAAAATATCTGTTTATAGCTAATCTGTCTCTGAGAGGATATCTGTTAAAATCCATTAAATACTTCCACATTCAATCGGCTTAAGCACATTCACATAGACACCTCACACCCGCACATTCGAGAGAATATATCGAAAGGTGTCGCTCGAAAATTTCAAAAGATAATTTCATCGGAAGTTCCATCGGAAGCGTTAATTCAGCAAAAATTAAAATGATTGAGAGTGAAATGATGTTACCATTTCCCGGCAGTGATTACAGTTTATCTCTTCAGCCGTTAATTCATAATTGCTAATTCATAATTTTGATTTCAAAACGACTCATCTCTTCAGCCCTTCTAATTATGATCGAATTTGTTCTAAGATCGTAGCTTTTCAACAATGCGATTCAGAGAATCATGCTTGAATAGATCTAACATTTTGATTCAAACGATGATTCAAAGGTAGTTTTGATTTTGTTTGTCATGAGTACATTCAACGGGAACCCGGTCAATCCACGTAAAGACATTTAGTCTAACGACAGTTTACCTAAAGACACATTACTTAACAGACAGTTTGCTTAACGGACAATTTACCCAATGGACAATTTGCCGAACGGACAGTTTGCCTAAAGAACAGTTTGCCTATTAGGCAAAATATCCATTAAAAAGCCGTAAGTTAGGCAAACTGTCCGTTACGCTAATTGTCCGTTAGGCAAACTGTCCGTTAGGCTAATTGTCCGTTAGGCTGTCTGTTAGGCAAGCTGTCCGTTAGATAATGTGTCTCTAGGCAAACTGTCGTTAGGCTAAATGTTTTTAGGCAGATTGACAGGTCACACATTTGACGAATATCAATTTCAATGTACTTTACGGATATCACCATTCGGAGCTAATTGTAACGACATATGAATCGTTACGAGGATGATGATAATAATAATAATAATACTGATGAAGATAGATGTTGAACGCAATAAACGGTGTAGAGGTGACCACATCGAAAGCGAATTGTGAGTACATTCGAAAGATAAGTCGCGAGCATACAGCCAGTATGTCAGTACTGTCAACCCCGTCCACACCCCGCTCGATACGGCACTATCATCGAGGCAATGGACCGCTCCGAGGTGGTGGCCTCCAAAAAGTGTACACTCATGCACCGGTTAGTTCTTAACATTATCTCTGAGGCGTTCGATAACTCTTCATTGGCTTGGATGTGGTCAAGTTAACTTTGACAATGCTGACTTCATTTACTTTCAGTCTTGTTTGCCTTTCGGTTTCACTATTCCACAGGATTATGCGTAACCTTTCCAAGTGAATTTTTTGCCAAAAATCGCTAGCTCAGATCAATCGCAAACTCTCACACCATGATAAATCCTAAAAGCGCTTCCTGAGAAGGCCGGTTCTAAATGACATATCATTAGTGCTTGTCCAGATACTCAGTCCTAAAATCCTGTGCAGACATAGCCATTTTCTGGAGATAAGTCTAAATTCAATAGCGCAGTCGCGCTCATTCCTACACATTGATCACTATAGAGCAGTCATCCATATACAAGTTTCTAAAATCGCCTATTCAGATACCCAGTTTTAAAATTGCTTGTTGAGATACTCAATTCTAAAATCGCTTGTTCAAATAATCAAGTCTAAAATCGCTTGTTCAAATAATCAAGTCTAAAATCGCTTGTTCAAATAACCAAATGTTGTTCCGATAGGCGAATTTCATGTTTTGTTTGACCTTGTGATTGCTAAAGACTAAATGATATGCCATGAAAATCTTCTAAAAAGAACTCAGCACCGTATACGAACGAAGATTGCAGATGTACGATTGAAAAACTATTGGAAAAATGACTAACTGAACTCGTAGACATCTCATTTTTCATTGAAGTTTTTTTCGTTCACATCTCATAAATTTCTTCGAATCACTCCTGTGTCTTTTGTATGTCGTGTAATCAGTGAACAAAATTTCAGCGGAATTCTCTTGTTTTTTGTCAGAAATTTTCTTAAAATTCCACCAAAAAAAACCCATTCAATTAGCCAAAATTGAGCAGTGAATGCAATGACATT